TGCAGAGCCAACGCCGGGATTCACGGGTGAGCCGCCAGGGCGCTGAGGCCTTGCGGGGCTGCGAGAGCGACGAGGACACGGCCGCTGTGCTGCACCACGCTTAGACGGATCATTAGAAAGACGGTAGAAAGTAAGCGGATGGCTCGTATCGCACCCCTGTAGTGTAGGGTATAAAACCCCCAGAAGAGCCCCTCGGGCGCACGCGGGTCGGCTGGGAGCCCCCCCGCCCATGAACAATCATTTCCCTTCGCGGTTCCGTACCTGGCAGCGGAGCCTCTCTCCCGGGCTGGCGCGGGCCCGTCACGGGGCCGTAGCGGCGAGCAGCAGCCTCCTCCCCAGCCCCAGCCTCCCACGCCAAACTCGACTTCACCCGCACCAACCGTGCGGCGCCGTCAGGTGGGCTTGTCTGGCAAAGCCTGCCTCGGGGGCAGCGCTTGGGCTGTTTTTTGGATGTGAATCAGAAGCCATACAGGTAGCAAAACAACCTTTATTAAAGGCACAGGGAAGAATGCAAAAACATGAAACAGGTTTTTTTAAGAGCTTCTACCTTAGGTCTATAAGAAGTGAGAGCATCCACAGCACGTTTAGCTGTGCCCACAATACATTTGAACAGGACATTTTGAGTCTGCCCTGCCTCCTCCTAGAATTTAAAACAAGGAAAAGAAACAATGAAAATACCTTGTTCACCTTACACAACTGCAACTAGAGGTGTCTACAAACACACAGCATCTCCAAGGGTTTTTTTCATTTTTTAAACATTTGCTGCAGTAAGACAGTAAGGCTGGAGTCACTGGAAATCTTGCTGGATATTCTCCTTGTTTGCTTCCCCATGCTGCTGTTTGATTTGTGAAATTTCATTTTCTAGCTGCACAATCGTTCGTTCAATCTCGTAATTTTTACTGACAAGAGACACCCACCTGGAAGGGGTAAGAAATAAAAAAGCCTTCAAGCGTCACTTCACAGTCCTCTGTTTTAAAATCAAAGACAATTACTGCTCCAAGGAAAGCACAAAGACACTGAATAACGCAGTATTTTTCTCTGTACACAATAAACCTCAGTTGATACCAATGGTAATTTGAACAACCAAAGGGATAAAAAGTAGTTTTTAACCCAGTTAAACCTTAACACAAAATTTAATTTGCTAGGTTCAAATCCACTAACTGACAATATTTTTAGATAAAGAAGAGTTTAATAAACAATTTAGGCTATTTCAAGCTGCTGACATGCCCTCCTTCTCACATCTATTGTTTACTGACTCACTCAACCACACTAACTCTTACTGAGACCTGAATTACAAATTCTTTAAAACGCTTTGTGCAAAGCAACAGTGTTCACGCGGTAACATCCTACAACAGTACTAAAACACCACTGATGCTCTGCATGGAAGAATTTCAAGCAAAAGACATACTTGTGGAAGATTTAATAGGAAAATTCTAGATACTCACGTAGATTCCATTTCTCGTAGCTTAGCCCCAGCTGTGAGCTGCATGTTCTTCCGTTGCCAGTTCAGATCTTGAATGTTTTTCCTGGGGAGAAAAAAAATCCCTGTTTTTTTTTGTCCCCTTTAGAATTTGTAATATCTGCTGCTAATTTTGAAATACACCTAATCCCTAGAAGTACCACCGGAAAACACTTGCATAACCAGGGCCTAACTACAACATACAGATGGACAAATCCCAGTACAGGGCTACACACAGAACCCAGGGATAAATAAAAACAAAAAACCCAAAACACCAAAAAAACTTCCACTCTACTACAAGCAAAACTTCAAACATTCAAGCCTACTGCTCCTGAACAACTGCAGAACAGAGAAAATGTTTTGTTCTCTCTGAAAAAGAGAGTCAGAAAAGCAAAGATGAATGGCTACATTCACAAAATTCGGTGAAGCATCTGAGAAGTGCAGAATACTCAAGATCCTTTGGTCTCTAGCTCTTAGCTCACACAGCTAATGCTCACATTCCGTTAGCCTCCTTGCCGTACATCGTGGTGCTCCTTTAGCCCTCCCAACTTGAGTTCTGCTTCTACCCTTTCCCACACCGACTCTGCCCAAGACAATAATTCCAGCTAAACGCATAAGTACTGATAAAAGATACAAGTCACTATGCAACTTGCCTCCTACCCATGTCCCAGTATACAGTCATGTCTTCAGGCTGAAAATTACAGTAGTTCATCTAAATCTGAAAGCTGAAAAGCTTTACTTGCCAAGTCCATGGCATGCTGTCTAAATAGAATGAACCATGAAGGTGCATCATTTCAATATGCTACAGCCTCCGTCCCCAAGTAATCAATTTCTGTAAATGCATTAAAGCATCCACTTTAAAGTGATAGGCCAAACCTAACATCAGAGAACATATCTTCGCTGAGACAACTGCACACTAAATAAAAGTCTATCAGCCGTGAAAAGAAACCATGACTGCATTTCAGAGAGGATTCCACCACAATCCATTCTGTTCACAGCAGAGGTTCAGACAAAGCAAAATAAAACCAAACAAAACAAACACAGAGTTTGAGTGGAATAGGCATTATGAATGTAAACGCTTAGAGAGGGCAGGGTCAGACTTAGTTATTGTTATTACTGTGCCTTTTTTCCCGTGGCCATGGCCGCAGCATGTACACAAGCCTTTGTATAGCTTGGGGAGAGGGGTTCACTTTCCTTCGAACTTCAGTATGAAAATATGAAAAAGAATGACTCACCTCAACTTCTGAAGCTCCTTCTGGGCTTGTTCTATCATATGGACCAGATGTCTAATAGCAGAATGCAAGCAAAGCGTTAGGAAAACATACAATCACTAGGTCAGACCCATTTAACCTGCAATTTAACTCTTCAGAGTTAAGGACGCAACAAGCCACTTCAGCGCAAACACCAGACAACTTGTTCTCCGTGCAGTTGTGCTCTTTGCTCCCGAAGGGAATGACACAACGCCAAAGCACTCCAAGTGTAACACATGTGGTTTTAAGGCATAAACATTCAGTAGTCACTACGGTCAGCCCTTGCCATCAGACAGTTTCAAAGTCATAACCATTAGCTGATCAAATTTTGTCTTTGAGCTTATTATTGTGCGCTTGTGCTATTCTGACTAGAATGTAACACCTCCCTACCTTACCACCAGTTTTCTATTTTTAATCCTAAAATTACCTGTAACCAATTTTTGTTTCCCTCCTATAACATTATCAGAGCACAGTTCTTTTCACTCCCCAATGTATGTGCGCGCTAACAAATCCTCTACCTGCCTTCCCTCTCCTAAGCTAAGCAACCCTTTGCCTTCTCTCAAAGTTAAATTCTGCATTCCTTTTGTCGACACCTTTATCTAAGGCTAAGCTAGCCCTTCTCGAAAGCGGACATTAACATTCTCTGCCTGAAAGACCCTTGGTACTTCCTGCAACTGTACCATCTACAACTTGGTTTGGCTTTTCAAACAGCTTTATTAATAACAGCTCCAGGCTGAGCAGGACCAGCAGTAAGTCATCTTTATTTCCACTACTGAATGATCGTTTCATGGGCTGTCATCAGTCCTGCTAGTTATCCTCAATTAAAGCCCACTATCACCAACTGCTACCCAAACAGTAACTCACAAAATTCAAGACTGGGATATATTGAAACACAGGTTATTTCCTGGCCACAGGGACAGCTCCTTCTCTTTCAGGTCAGCCTCCTTTTCCTCTACATACAGCTCACTCAAAGGGGCTTGGTTATTCCAGGACGCGTGCTCAAGATCCCTGCTGGACTTAGGCAGGGAAATGCAAGAAGTAGGCAGAAATCGAAGTCAGAACTTCAACCGCGTTCAGCAAAGCAGACGAGGGCCTTACTCGTTGTACACCTTCCACGCGTTGCAGCCGTGCTGCGACATCAGCTCCAGGTTCTCGATGCGGACCGCCTGGTGCTCCAGCTGCGCCATGGAGTTGTTCACGCACTCCTGCCACGCTGTGATATCGTTC